TGCCAGAGATTTTTCTGCCCTCCACCATCAATGTGTCTTTGTGCCAGGAAGGATAAAAACCACTTTTCTTAGAGTCAGAAAACAATTCATCATTGCTCAGAGCAATTGTTGGTATTTCTTCTGAGACATGATTCTTCTCTTTGCCCATAATGTTTTTTTCTTCTCACTTTGGTGAGTGTTAAAGTAAATAAGGTGATTTCACGTAGTCAAAAATCAGGACAAAGTAGGAAAAAAGATCTTTATGAGTATATTCATCTGGGGGAAATGACTGACTTCAAATTTAACTTGTCTTTGCTTTTGAGAGCTAAGGTAGGATTTGTCCAAAATTTACTTGAAACTTCAAATGAATAGGCAGATAACTCATAGTTTAATAGCACAAATAAAAGATATAATTTGAATTTTGAAATCAGATGTCTGTATACATGGCCATGTGAAGTGCTAGGGAAAAGTGAAAAAAAAATTTCCATTTGGCTAAGCTTGGAAAGGAACTTAATCTCCTAGTGTGAGTGAAGCAGAACAGCTTTATACCTCCCACTCCGTGCTTCAAGTGACGGTTCACTTCTCACCTCCAGTTGTCCCTTTGTTTCCTGTGTGTAGTGTTGGCAGATAGTAGAGCTGAGTTCCACTAATCTTACACTATCCTTGTTAAAGTGATCAGGAGCTACTGCAACTTCCTTGTACCTATGGGGTGTGGAGGCATAATGGCTCCAATCACCAAATGTCTTCTTTAAAAAGACATCTCAAAGTTCTTAGCACTCTGTCCTGAGACTTGTCTAATAACATTCTGTTTTCTAACAACTCCACATGAGACCTCAGTATTTGTTATCCAAACGTGTGCCAGCATTCTTTAAAATATATGGTAAAAATCCACAGAAGGGAAACTTCTTTTTTTTCTTTTTTTGTTAATACCGGATATTTTATTTCTACAAGAAGTTTTTCTGTAATATCATACAGGATTTCAGCATTTTTAGATGTGTTGCAGAAGCAACACAGGTTTTGTGTTGCTTTGGACTAGCGGTGCACCACCTGATGGTTAAAACAGAACACCCTCAGAAGACTCTCTACACATGATTTAGTCCACATGGGTTGAAAGCTGCTTTAAAGAACTGTTGTGTTGTGGCTAGTGCAGAAGGACCTGACACTTTTCCATTAGCAAGCACTATGAGAGTAATAAAACCAACTTATGTGTTCTTAGCATTATTGTGATTTTTGTTAGTGTTGTTTCCCTGTAGGAAAAATTGGGGTGTCTTTTTTGGTTACATCGTACCTCAAGGTGTTAGGATGACTCAGGTTATTTTCTTCACCTTCCCATACTTTCATTCTGTGTGTTCAAGTAACTTAAACTGCCCCTGTCTCCTAGTTTGGGTCCATAAAATGCAAAAAGAGGACAATAGAAATTTATGTTGTAAGTTCTTGTGAGGTAGACTCCATTACTATGGTAAGATTTTTTTGCTACAGTGGTAAGTGCTGTAGAAATGCCTGTATTTTGTATGTCTCTGCATATACATATACATTTCATATACATATACATATACATTTCTCCATCCATCATCAGACTATTTTGTGATGATGTTTTTCTACCCCTACTCGTGTACTGAGTATCATGAAGCTGTCTGGAAGTAGACGTCATTGCTCTTGTGGCATGTTTGTAGTGGATTTCTGATGCCATCCTGATGGTGAAAGGATAGAAAGTCTTGAAATGCAGGCAGGTGTTGCTCTGTGAACACTATCTCTTTCCCATGTCTTCAGACAGGCCAAATCACTGTCCTTCCTGAGTCTTTCCTTTAGACACCAACACAACTTAATTTTTTAGTTCATTTCAATAGAGATTCAGTGTTTTCTGGCAACTATCCTCTGTTTTCACATTGCAGTTATCAAGGCGATAAAGAGTTTTAAAACCTCCAGGAAATGTCACAAAGCATTTATTTTTGCAAAAAGAAACTCTTGTTTCTCTCAGTTTCCCTGTACAGTGATTTTTTTTTAGCCCCTCCATCTAAGACTTGTAGTACATTTATAAGCTTTTAAATACAAGCACCATTTGGGGGCCTTTTGATATTCTTTTGCCTATACATGTGTAAATAATTGACTGTCGTGTGTAAGGACCTGCACATCTAAATAGGTACCCATCCAGTGTTATGTATTTGTATAATCAAATTCATAATACAAAGTGAGAATATTTTTTTTTTATTAAGAAAGAATTATTTTAAGTGCATTCACGCAAAACTTAATCCATATCCATATGTATGTGTTTGCAGGAAATAAATTATGCTTTTCATGACCTAGTGGGAGTTGTTAACTTACAGGAATTGCTGCATTTCTGCATTACAGCTGTACAGTTTGTAAAAGAAGCAGAACTATCTTATACTTGCAACTTCAAAATGTAGGTCATTGTGTTGATGAATGTAGGTCAGAGTGAAGGGGAAGAAGACAGAATGCAAACTCCTCCACATGGATCTTTAAGCTTATCCCTGTTTTGAAGGTAAAGAGGCTTACCTACCTGTTCAAGCACGAGAAGCTTTTCCTTTTACTAAAATTAACACAGGTATTCTGGCTTCTGGCTCCTTGGCTTAGCTGGAAGCACTGTATGCTTCCACACTTGAGACCTGTGTTCATGAAAGACCTCCTGACTCCTGCTTCTTTAGCTGCCAGCCGTTTATATCCTTGCTGAGGGGATACTTCCTTCCCTGTGGGGGAAGGGAGCGAGGAAGAGATGCATCACTAGCATCTACCTGAAGAAGAGCATTGTCCTTCCAAAGGTGCTTTACTCTTCTCTCAGCACAGAGCTATCTGATACACCTGCACTTGCAGCTGGCAGCAAGGTTGTAATGGTAGCAGGGGAAAGAACGGTGATCCCTCATAAAAGATTTAGTGACACCATTTGAAGTGCCCTTTCAGTAACAGCCACAGAAAAGTGAGAGACATCTGACTGAGGGTACTGAAAATTCACATGCTGAAGGATTTTGCTACAACTGACGAGTATTTTTAAAAATCACTCAGGCTAAAAGTTTGCTCTAAAAGGCTTTAGATTTTTAGTGTTTGTGGGTGTGTGGGGTTTGGTTTTTTTTTTTGGTAATGTGAGATATAAGTATTATAAATGGTGTTAAATTAGCAGTGTCTTCACTAAATATTAAAGAAGCACTTTTATTGCTTGAGTATACACCAGTCACTGCAAATGGAAACATTCTTTATATTATACACTAAAATATTTAAACAGTTATTATATTTATTGCAAAATCTGTCATATTAGTGTATTTCAATGCTCAAAAGCGTTGAAATGCTCAAAAGGGAGATGGAAAATCCTGTACAATTCTTAGTGTATGTTTCACTGAAGAATGGGTAGTCGTGTGTGAACATTTTTTTTTAACCCTTAGCAAGTCTGAGCAAAATAGCACATTTTCAAAGACCTAATCAGCCTAAACTGTCATAAACAGGACAAATACCAATATTACTTTAGTGATTTTGTTATACATATGGGTTGTCAGCCTAGTTTTTTTACCTTTAAAATCTTTGCCATACAAAAGTTATGTGCAAAGTTTTAGCCAAACCCTGTCTAAGCTTTTGCTTGATCTATGTGCAGACAACACATTCATAACTTTTCATTATTTATCACTATGAGTAATGGTAGTTTAGAATACTTAATAAAAGAAAGGAACAAGTATATATTTGATAGTTACAGTCAGGGTCTAAGGAAGGCAGTTTTTCTCCCAAACTTCTGCATCTATTAAATGTGTTGTGATGTTTTTAAACTCTCGAGAATACAAAATTATAAAAAAAGGTCTAAAGGATAGATATACTTAGTAAACTGCATGGAATTCAGTTTACCTGTCTAGAAACATTTAGAGTATGCTCCTGCACATCAATTTTAAGTTTACCAGAAATATTGAAGTGTCTGAGTCTGTAATAGAGCTTCTGTCACGTTAATTCATGGTGCTCTGTGTTGTGTGGGGAGGCTACCCCTTGCTTTTACCTGGGGATAGACATGTAAGCAGGTTTTTTTCATGCTTACAGATGGAAAACACATATAACCATAATTTGGCTGCATATGCCTTTGGTTCATCCTCCCTGAACGTCAGGAGCCTGACTCAAGTGCTTGAATACAAGTCTGTTTGCCCCAGGCTCCCTCCCTCCAGCAATGGAGATAGGAGGAGAGAGTGCAAGCCATGCAGGATCTGTGCTGCCCTCCCTGTGGGCCACGGTGCTTGGCTTGGATGTTCCAGTGAGGAGGGAAACTGCTCTGAGGAACCAGCAGGTTTCATGAGGAAATGGTATTGAAGGGGTAAAATTTCATGGATGCCTCCAACTGTTTGCCAAGATTGACAATGACCAGCACAAGTTTTATGATGGAAGCTTATGAAGTTGTGAATAATACAGATTAGGTGAAAAAAGCACTTGGATCTCCTCTCTTCCTAAGGAACTTCTTGAGCCCCAGCTAGAAATCCTACTGTGTTACTGTTATAGGCCTGTATTTGTCCTTAGCACGTGTTGCTGGTCAGTGTCCCTTACAGTCAGACTGATGTCTGACCTAACAAAACCTAAGAGAAAAGGAGCTAAATAAAAAGCAACGGTGAATAAATGAAATGATTGTAGAGAATAGCTACTAGAAAAGGAGGGGGCTTCTGTCCAGTCTTAGGGCCTGGTGCAAACAGTTTGATGTTCATGTGGATGTCTCAATGTCAGAAGTTTCACAGAATTAAATTTTATGTAACTTTTAAAGTCTTGACCATTGTATGTATACGTACATGTATATGTTTGTGTGTGTGTGCATGTATCTATAAAGTAAATTTCTGATCATTAGTCAGGATGAAAGCCATGAAATTTTCAGTTCTAATGTGTGAGTCAGAAGTCTTCCATTAAAAGTCTTACTTGTTTCTTTATTCCATGGTATTATGGCAAAATTAGAAAACGAAACAGTTGGTCTGCAAATGGTAGTATGTATTTAAGTATCATTTTAGAACCTCCAAAAAGTCTGTTCTAAGAAAGCAAATATCTTTGTTTTCTAGGTCTCTGGCCATCTGAAGAAGTGCTGGCTTACTACTGCCTGAAGCACAATGAAATATTCAGGTACAGAGTTAAACAAAAAAAAGATATTTTCCAATATGTTAGTTTTATTGTCTCTGCATGGTAAAGATTGCTATGATTTAAGTCTTCAGATTAAATTTAAAATGTTCAAGGTGAAAGCAAGTTGCTCTTAACAAAGAATTCTGAGCTGCCTTTGGGTACTAATATTGCACAGCAAGCTTTCTGCTATATGTCAAAGACTTTTGATTTCCACTCAAGGCGTTTTATTTCACTTTGATTTTTGGGAAACAAAAGTGAAGCTCCAATCGATCAGTACTGATTGTGAAGGTCAGGAAAAAAAAAAGAGATTCTTTAAACCAACATCTGTTGCAAAAGCAAGCAAAATATTACCTGATAAAATACATAATAATCACTTCCTATAGCGATGGAGGAATTTGCACGCGTGTTTAAGTCTTGTGAAACAGTTTTGAGATATCTGCACTTCTGTTTGTTTTTATTTATTCACATTTTCTAAATGTGTAGAAGACAGTTATTCGAAGCTCCAATAGGAACACCTGAAAATAAAACCCATCCTGCATCCTCTCTCTTTCCCCATGAGTGTACAGAGCCTTGCACTTGGAAATCCTTGATGTTTCATTGTCCAGAGGATGAATGAGGTGCAAGAAAAGCCATTATAACAATGCATTTGGAGGCATAAATTGTGTTCCGAGTGAGGGTGCAAGGCTAAAACCAAGTAAACCAGCTTGGAGTATACAAAATCCCTCCATCTGTGTACATATGGTGTTGGTAAAATAGGGAAGACCAAGCTGTAAGTAAGTCCTTGCCCCTTGTACCAAAGCTGAAAGTATATGAGCTGGTTCCTGCAGCTTGCTCAGACTCCTATCTGAAATCAAAGAGCTGGCACCAAAGCATGCCCTGGTTCATAAATCCTCCTTTGTACTCTGTCTGCCACCTGAATGGAGCCCACCCCATTAGAGGGGGCAGCTAACACGCCTAATGTGGTAGCCACTGCTTCAAGTTGAGCTGGGCATTGTGTGACTCCTGCTGCTGTAGTGGAGGTGTCCCTGTGGCACTTTGCTGTCCAGCCCTGTGCCGTAGCTTGTACATGCTGCTTGTTCCCAGGGGCTCTTCACAGCAAACCTCCCTGTGCTGCCCACTAAAAGGGTATTTTCCTAGTTTGTGTACACAAGCCTGGATACTTCTCTTTCCATGGAGGAAATGGGCAGTTTCACATCCAGGTTTCTCAGGATTATGCTTCCTGACAGTACTCTCGGACTAGAGTTTCTTATTTTGTTTCTCGTTGGTAAATGTCATTAAATATTTCCTGAGACATGGATATGATTTTCTTCAATTGTCTAATAAGGGAACTTTGTTTTAATAACTGAAATAAGTTATTTATATGCATAAATAGGTACATGTATATGTCTGTATGTATATGCTTGTATGTGATGTGCATACATATTTAGTTGAAAATGCACCAAAAACCCCTCACTAGGTACTTTGTGTTTATTTCAATAAGCATGATTCTTATAAAGGATTAAGTGACTTGTAAATCTTATGCAAGTAACCATATGTATATGCTTTTAATATATATGACACGTACGGTTTAGAAAAATAAAAACTTATGTGGGGAAAAATGTATTTAAACCACAAACTTGCAAATTTCCCACATCTGTTTTGTATTCTCTTTGGGTTTATGTACAGCTTGTTCCTCTGAACTGTGTCCGTCTTTTGTCTCATTTCCGTTAAATAGGACAAATAGGCTTTTTTCCAAATAAAATTTGTGACATCTCAGAAAAATAATTCTATCCCATCCAGGCAGCAAGCATTAGTATACCCTCATGCAGCCTAGTCTGCTGGCTCAGTGAACAAACTATCAGCGTCTGTATGCTGATAGTGATATGGCATCCTAGATGCTCTTCCTAAATATCAGTGTCGAGTGAGTAGGGGGGTAATAAAAATAATAGTTTTTCAAATGTTGGTATTTTAGCAGAGAAGAAAGAGTGCATCAAAAAAAAAAAAAAGAAAAAAAAAGAAAAAGAATCTGCTTAGCTGAAATTCCATTTTCTGCCTGTCAAAAATGTCACAATGGGAACATTTCTGCCAGCTGTAACAGTTGCCACAGATTTAGCTCTCAAGCAGCGTGTTCCTAAACCGAGGCTCTGCCTTGCCCTAGACGCCGCTTCACGCGGTTTCGGCGCGGGGTCAGCTTCCCTCTCTCCTCCCCTCCTGGGGCAGGCCATGGCTCTGGGGGACATTCTTTATGGCTCCCCCTGCAAGCTCCCATCCAGCACGCTCCCTGTGCCAAATTATATTTCACATGCACGTCTTAATAACCGCGCGGTATGGTCTAAGTTAAAAGCAGCCTTTTAGACCATGCATTCAGCCCTCTGCTCGGGCTCCGTTTGGGCTCTTGACACCAACTTCGTTTAGTTTTCCGTGGTGTAACTGTTTGCTGCTCCCATCGTTGTTCATAACAGCATTGTTTGTAGGTCACTTGCAGATTTAAGTGCTAATTGAAGGATCGGATTTCTTCGTGTGTTAATTGTTTCGTGGTATACGGCTTGTTTTAAAACTCTCCTCTTTTTAATATTAGCAGGCTTTTAGGCATAGCTGTGTGGAGAGATATAGATATAATATTAATTTCCCCATTTACTTCTCTAACTGTTTTTGCAAGAATGAATGTGGATTAACATTGTTATCCTTTCCTAACAATTATCTTTCGCTACTCTAGCTAGTTTAGTTCTAAAAGACAGAGCCATTGACAAGGGAAAAAAGGGAACCTTCTCAGATTTTTCAGCTCAGCGGTGGTAATGTTGCACTGAACACTAATGAGGGAACCCCCACTGATTTGCCTGCTTTGTGACTTTTCTATTTCATAATTATTTTTAAAACGCAAAACGACATGAGGTAGCCTAGTCATGTCTCTACAACTTCCTGGTAGCTCGGGTCTTACTGCAGATGGCAATTTGTTCTTGTAACATATATGTCTCTCTGACCATTTTCATCTAATTTGTATGGGTTCTACCATTTCCTTTCTCTCTTTCAGGGACCTTGCTGTGTGTGAGCTAGGGGGTGGCATGACATGCTTGGCTGGGCTCATGGTAGGTCTTTTCTCAATTCCAATCCCATTCAGAGGAAGAAACAAAAGGAAAAATGTTCCAGTGCCTCCAACTGCTGGGTCAGAGAACTGTCAACAGCCTCAGCTGCGGTCAAGCTGCAGAGTCTTGAGAGACCTTCTAGATTGACTTGCTTTCGTATCATATTGATTTTATGGTTGCCTCGATGAGCAGAAACATTTTACCTCCGTGTAGTCAATATCTCTTGTTGTGACATTCCAGGCCACGTACGGTCTGTCTTTCATTGCCATCGCCGAGGCTTTTTTTTTTTTTCAGATTATAGTCCCATTTGCTAAGATACAGGAATAGCCTGGCGAATCACAGTTGGAGCACCATGATATAGCTGCTAATGTTTTGCCTGCATTATTACACCAACAAACATGATCCAGAGCTCTCGGTAATTAGATTCTTTTGAATTAGATTGGCCATTCAGGAGAGTCGTTCACCATTCTCTGGGTTCTGAGTCATGTATTCAGGAGATATTATGTAGCAGTGCAGTGCATTAGACAAGTTTTTATGTCTCTACAAATAAAAGCATATTGTTACACTGATTGGCATTTGACAAACCTGTCGCTCTTATACAATGTGTCGAGGTTACAGCCCAATGTGCGAGCATGTCAAAGCTCACAAAAAAATTACCCTTACAAAGCCATCTGCCTGCAATGCAAAGTTATATGAAGGGCATCAGGCAGTCAGACAGAAGCAAGCTGAAAGGCAGAGTGACAGCCTTGTATGATGGCTCTACTAGATAAACAGAAGCCCGCAAATGAAAGCCTCTCAGAATACCATCATCCGCTGTCACAATGCAATTACGGAACAGAATGATAGCAAGATAGAGGCTCCCGCAAATGGAATGATAAAAGTATTGACTGATTTGATTGAATGATTAAAATAATGCAGACATAAAATGAAAAAAGATTGAAGATTGTTACAGAGAAATAGGTGAGGAAGCATGATACTGAAGGCTTGTCACTCCTGTCTTCACTTCCACACAGACAAGCATATTTGCTCATTGTTTGCTGTGCTCTTTTTTTCAGGTTGCTATTTCTGCAGATGTCAAAGAAGTTCTGTTAACTGATGGAAATGAAAAGGCCATCAAAAGTATCCTTATTCAGATAGAAAACTGGTTTGTTGTGCTCGTTCCTTTTTACTGGCTGAGTAACAATCGATATAAAGACAGACAGCATGGGGTATATTAAGAAAAAGTCCCCACATAAGTAATTAAAAAACAGATGTAGAATATGTTGAACAGAGCTACAGCTTCCCCTGCAATAAATGCCACATTTTCTTCTTATAATTAAAAACGTACGTCTTGGTATGGTAGTTTATATTTCTCTTATGGTCAAATGCTGTGTGTATGCTGCACGTTACAGGAGGTGTAGCAGTGAATCAGATCATTAGCTCCCCATCACATATTCATTTTGCAGAAGAACTAGATTTGTATTTTTTATGTTCAGATACTAGGCTCTTAAAGCATAGCCAGTGTTTGTATATTGCCATAGCTTTTCCAGCACAGATTGAAATTCATGGTTTCATTGCTGCTGAGAAGTTATAACTGCCTACGAATTACCCGTTTAGTGTGCTTAATCAATTATCAATTTATCATTATTTCTCTTGATGTAAGATTGAAAAACTCCTCTGTCGCTAGTAGAAAGTATTTTATTTTATTTCTTATATTAGAATAAATTGCTATTATGCCCTTCTAATATGAACACATAGTTCAGAAAATTGAACTGGACTTTGACTAAGCGAGAGAACGAGTGAGCATAATTTGTGACCACATTAAATATCAGCACAGAACAAGAAGAGATATATACAGTGAATACTAATAGCCCTTAGAAATTGAGAGGAAAAAAAAAAAGGAAGATATCTATTTGCTTTTGTTCCTTGGTAATCTTTCAGTTTGCATTTTCAGGCAGACTAGTTTTTCAGGTGTTGGCCACTGCATCATCGGAGTTATTTAGATCTGAGTTTTATATATAAATATTTTTAGAGCTAAAGTAATGAGTATTTATTGCAAAAATAAGTTAAACTAATTTGTTGTTTAAAAAAATTGCAGTTGCTGGTGACTGTTAAAACAGGAGACATTGCAGTGCAATATTATTAGCTGCTACCTTTAAAAAGGCTTTCACAGAGGTAACTGAGGAAACTATAATTGCTTACAACACCTTAACAATTTCATGCTAAAACCAGCCAATCCTAGATCATATCTTTTAAAACTTCAAGTAAGCCTTATAAAAGTCTCCTTTTTTTTCTTGAAAATGCAAGTTCTCAATTGTGTTCCAAGTTTTCTTAAATTCTGGTTTGTTTTACGCATGTTTTGAGGAGGAAGTATTCATTATTCTGTGAATTTTAATCCACATCACCCCTTCCAATCTTTCTTCTATGTCATTATTAAGATGAAAAATGTGGGAGAAAAGAAGTGTTCCAAAACTAGCCTAACAAAACAAGCTCATGTTTTATAGAAGCACAGGTATTTAACAAAAGGTCGTTTTACCCACAGAAAGCTTCAGGTGAGCTCAGTAATCATCAAGTCAGCAAATATCTTGCATAGCAGATTTCATAAACATACCTGAACTTTTTTTGAATTTACAAGTCTTCTAGAGCAAGGAAAATTGGTGAGTGTTAAAATTATTCACTCAGTCTTTGGAATTAAACAAATTAAAGTGTTTTTATGCCTGAAAAAGATACTGTTAATGTCATCTAATTAGCACACCTTAGTTTTTCACGACATATTTTAGAAATACCCTGTATTTCCAAAAGTCTTACAAGAAGTCTTCATCTGTATTCACTCAGTGAATCTCTTTCAGAGAAGTGATTGGTGGAAGGCTCGAACAAGAATTTATTTTTCTTTTTTAACATTTGGTGCTCTGAAGGCTCAGCATTCAAAGTGCTTTTATTGTGTTGGATTTTACAATGGGCTTAATATTAGCAGGGTGCCAAAGTGCAACAGACTAAGAACTTTACAGTGTAGGTGGAATGTATTCTTAAAAATGCACATCATGAAATTTATGTTGCATTTTATGTGTTTTATGGACTTTAATGGTGATTTTATGATCTGTGTTATGGTAATTTTTCTTTTACATTCTTTTCTGTGGTGACTAGCTATAACAGAAGTTTAGGCTAAATTTAGATCTCCTTCAGCCACGTGAGACTCAATGAAATCAGTAAGAATTTTCAGTGTAACTGGTAATGGTGTTTGGCCCCAAGTGCCACATATGACAAATTAGGCATTTCTGCTAATTTTTATTACTACTGATGGTATTTTTTAATTGTTCAGCATACCAAATTAAATTAATGTGGGATAAAATACTGTTTTCTTTTCTCGATTCTGCTCTTTGGAAGTACTTAATGCCTAGTATTATGTTTTTTATGTAGGTATTATAGATTAAAATAATCTTGTTTAAAAATTACTGTTTACATCTTGTCTTTAAATTCCTTATGAAGCTTAAATTACATGCCAGTCATACTATAATATCCAAAAATTACTTTGCAAAAAGTAAACGTGGTTGTCAACAAAAAAAAAAAAAAAAGAAAAAAAAATCACTGTCAGAAGCCAGGAAATCACCAAGCAAGCCTGCTAATTATTCTTAATGGGCAAGATGAGCACATTAAGAAACAAATGAATACATCAGTGAAATGTAATTGAAAATCGACCTGGCAATAGTGCATTGCATCTGAGAATCTGCCTTTGTATTATCGTCATCATCATAATTATTGTTGTTTTTGTTGTTGTTATCGCTATTCAGTGAGCGGAACTAACAGCTTTGCTTTGTGAAGTCTCAAGCTTTTGAGGGTTTGATTTTTCTTTTCATTTTTGACATTCTTCGTGTTATCCTCTACTTCATACTGCCACATGAAATATTCACTATGTACGTTTTCAATATCTCTATTAGGATATGTTACTAAAATGTTACAAGTTAAAACAGTTTACAGATATGTTCATTTCAAGTCACTGTTATATGAACTGTTTCACCCTGAAATATATAGCCACATCTGATATTAATCAGTGGTCTTATACATGAAGTTTATGGAGGTTTTTTTAAAGGGATATTATGATTTGAGTTACTAGTCCACTTAAAAGACTTCACCCTAACTCACTCCTGCTAATCATGGGCAAATTTTAATTGATTAACAGATCATTTATTAAAAAAACAATAGAATCAAGACAGATGTTACGGCTTTTGCAGCTTTGTTCGAAACTTTATTGTTGATTTAGTGTGTTTTACCTAAGTTCTTTCAGGATCGTTTAAATAAAGAAAGTATTAAAAGAAAAATATAGATATTTCAAGTGAATACTAAAGATATGCCTGGGTAAATTTATCATAATCACCCCCTTTGTAATTTTGGGCGATGTGCATTCACATACAAATTTTCCAACTTAGGTAATATCTGTGACATAGCCAGTCATGAACATCAAATTCTGTTTCCCCAGAACATTTGAAGTATCTATAATCGATTCAACATGTCCAAATCCAAGGATGAGGTTCATTTTTTAGTAAAAATTGTCTCTTATTTCAGAGAGGCTGTGTACCTTCTTCTGCTTTAACTCTGTCTCACACCATGCACTAGTGACTTGAACTACTACTGTCCGAAAGCATCAATAATACAAAACATTGTTGCAATGCACTATAATGGCCATTAAAATATAGTGTATGGATCTTTCAACAGTCCTGGGAAATTTAGGTTAGAGAGGTCATGTTCAGCCTGAATGCCTGAAGACATAGGCTCATAAATTATTTAAAAAAGCTAGTGTTAACATATTTACAACAATTATTAATACTTTTGCTTGGTTATACAATTTAAGTGCAGTGTAGCTGATTTATCAACAATGTTACTGCTGCCTCTCTTTAAAAATAGCATGCTTTACTCATGGAATTATTTGTGCCTTCCTTTTTTTTTTCACAGGTATAGACAATTCATTACTACTTCTCATTGTATATTGTGGAAAAGATTTAAAAGGCGTGTCCCAATCACAGAGATTTGTTTAATGAGTCTTCTGTCATTCCATTTCTAGTTTTTGCCTTCATGAAATATTAATTGTCTTTTCTTTTTCATTGTTTGGATAGAGGCTTTCCTAAAATAACTTTTCTTTAATAGCCAGCTGTGTTAGGAAGGCACATGATGTAATTTCAGCAAAGTAAGTGAAAAGATATATCGCTGATATTTTAAATTAACACTCAATTTTTTTATAAGAGCACTTGTAAAGAATTCAGCATTTTTGTGCAGCCTCCAAATTAACATTAGTTTTCCTGTACCTTAAATAAGAAAGAAGGACTATTGACATCTTTACCAAAAATGTCCATTTAAAATATTTTTTTCTCTTTGAGAATGAGTCATTGAAATATGTATGGATTCACACTGGGTGACATTTAGTATTCTCTTAGTTTTCAATTACTTTCTACATCTTTTCCTACCAATGGCTTCTCACTAAGCACAAAGGATTCATGATGAAGATTATCTTCCTAGGCCTAAATGGCTGGGCACAGCTTCCCTTGAAACTTTTCACTGGTGGCCCTTGCTTTGGCCTGCCTGAATGGCTACCCACAAGTGACTTGGTCTTTCAGACTGAAAGAAGCTGGACAGGAGGCTGAGGCACTGTTGAGGTGCCTATAGGGAAGAAAAGGTATTTATTGCTTTCTGCTACCTTTTGTAGTGGTTCCAAACCATTTCCAAATGGACAAGAAACTCCCTTGCCTATAGGTTAAGATGCTCCAGTTGTGTGTTGGATTTCACACAGAAAGAGCCAGGAACAAAGATATGTGTCTTGTGGCAGGGTCTTGAAACCCAAACACATCCAAAATCTCAGCAGTGTGATCTAGTGATGCAGTCAAAAGCAGCATAAACTAAACTGTACCTTGAGTGACCATGCTAAAGAATTTCAGTTCACTGTGGTTGTAATTCTTTGATTTGTAAACAATAATTGCCTTTAAATGTATATAAGGTATGGGGAATCTTTTTCAGTTCCTTCAGTAGCTACAGGGCTAACAATTCCTTAAATAAAACAGTACATAGAGTTTGGCAACAAGAGCAAGTTGTTGCATAGATGCATGGCTGATGTGCTGGAGTAGCAGTGTAAAATTTATGCTCCTGAAAACAGACTAAGTCTCACCACAGATTAAAGAAGACCAAACAGATAAAAGACATTATGAAGGTATTATCAATGAAAAAAAAATTATTATTTGTATTGCTGCTGTAGTTTTGCAGATAATCCTTAACAAACACACTACAGATGTAAGTGAGATCATCGCAAGAAACCAAAATGCAGGAGTATTTAAGGCTCAGAAAGTGTCAAGCTGGTAAGATGCTGACTTAACTGCTTTACTGATTCTTGCATGTAATTCTGTATTTCAAGTAAATGTGAAATGAATTCAAAAGTGTGAAAGTGTGACCTATAATACTGATGCTGATGTAGATGTATATACAATATAAGCAGGTGATGCACCACAAATTTGGAAGTATTAAAAAACCTTTTCAATTGCTTTTTAACATGGCATATACAATGTGATTAATCTTGGTAACATTATCTCTCTATTGGTGCATAGTTGAAATTTGGCTGCTTTGGAGACAACTTTACTCATTGTACTGAATCTGAAGCCTGGAATGAATGTACCTAAATCACCGGCAGGTTTCATTTTAAATAGGTCTGAGAATTTAGGGTGGCAACAAATCCCACTTGCCCCTGCAGCAGGTGTCAGAGCATCCATGAGAGGTTTTTTGGTCATCCTCTCTGAGCAATCAATGTCTCCTTGTTGCTGCAAGGACAGATGGAGGGAGCATGGGAGGCAGGTACTGCATGCTGGGCTCCTTCTCTCATTGACTATGTCCTAAGGTGTAGGGCACACCCAACATTTTCTCATAGTGCACCAGCTCTGTTGTCTCCAAGTTAGCCTTGAAGGCATTCTCCAGAGGGTGATAGTTTTAGAGGTTCAGAGAATTTGGTTTGAGATCATCTCCAGAGCCCTTCCTGACCCACCCTGTAATAGGTGGTGCTGCTGAGGTTAACTGTTTATCTATTGTATTGAGGTATCTCCAGGTACAGTATGGACTGGAAGCAGCTGAAAATTTGAAATGTGCTCACTTCTTGTAGTGTTTTAAAAATTAAATTGTAAAGTACTTCATTCATGGTATAAGATTAAGAGTTAGAATGTGTTTGGAGATGTCCACCTAAGAGCGAATAGCACGCTATTATTTGTGAGCCTAAATCATTTTTTTTGATGATTCTCATTCCAGACGGACTCTCAGTCCTTCTCAAAGTGACAAAAGTAAAGCTGAAAAAGGGCTGAGAAAGGCAAGCTGTTACAACAGAATAAGCTTATTAACATAGAGGGTTAAACCCATACAATTTTAATGGCTATCATTCACATAACTCATCCCTACGCTTATGTAGCCGTTCTGTGTAGAGAAGTTCTTTTAAGTGAGCACTTAGGGCCAGAGAAATTTTGCCTTCATTAGGGTATACATGCATATAACTTAGAGGTATATCTCTGCATCCTAATAAGTGCCTGCCAAGTAGACAAAGGCCACGCAGGCCCCAGGAATGGTGTTTCAGGTTCCGTGTGCTGAACGCTTCTCGTGAGCAGCCTCCGACACTCATCCCTGCTGAGGAGAGGCTGTGTGGTACACCCCTCCAGAAGCTTAGGTTTTGTAGATTTCCAATTGCTGTCCACTTCGTGTGAGATTTCAGATTTCATCCCTTGTCAAGACTTCAAACCTGGTCTTTTAGATATCAATCAAAAGCACATTTTCTACCCTGTCCTCATTTACATTTATCTAATGCGTAAGGTCATTTGTGATCATTTGAGTGTATTTCAGCATATAGAATCAGTGAATAATAGATTTCAGCCTCACGCTGTGAAGAAAGATTGTGTTTTTGCAAGACATGATGTTGTTTACTGAGTGTTAATAATCACTAATTAATAAACATATCTAGACGTCATAGAATGTTGCATTTTAAGGAGTAAAAATGTCAAGTGTTTAACTTCTTGAGTGCAGTAGCGTTTGGGGCCTTATTTGCATAAATGAAATAATTAAATTACAAAATAAAGTGAAGCACTATATCAAAACAAAACTCATTATAAGAAACACATAATTTGATTTTTTTAGCTCCACATTCTTAAGGCTTTTGCACGTTCCATGTAACAGTGTAAAGTTTTATAAAATAGATATTCAGATCACTCTCTAATCCCTAAAGTAATTATCATCGTGCATTTCTCTAGCTTATACACATTAATAGTTGATTTCTCCTGTCAAAAGTAAGGTTATGCTTTGGTTTGTTATTTGAGAAGCTCTAATCTATGAATCAGTCCTTCAAATTCAGTAATGACATGTGATGAGGACAGTAACAAAGTTATTTGATCACTTTTAAAGGTCTTGAAGGAACAAAAAGGCTGATAAAAAATCTGAAATGTACCATAACCCTGATTCACTTTTCCTAAAACCAAAAACCTTAATTATGTAAAGATAATGGGTGGAAAAATAATGAAAAAAAAAAAAAAAACCCACAAGAAAATGTAGCAGTTTGTAGGAAAAAATGAAACACTAGCATGCAAAGTGACATTAGGTGACTTCTTTAATGTTGATAAGAGGCTTGCAGGCAAATGAGTATAGTGATATATTTACCTGACTATCTGTAACATTCATTTAATTGGAGAAGGTATGTTTCTCACTCTAATGTGTCATTTAAACAGCATCCAGTCTTGCAACTTTGCTCCATGTCCAGTGCAAATTTACAAGATTCTTTCCATATAAAAGATAATTCAGAGTAGACCTTTTTCACCATACCTTAATCTCACGTCAGAATCTTGTACTCTTGTCTTTCCACATGAAGCAGAAATTATCAGTATGAGAGTCAGTTTGTGACTGTTCCAGACATTCACATCTAGACTTGGAAAATGTGCCAAAACATGTATGGCACAAAAAGGAACAACCTAGTATCAGCCAAGAGAAGTTAGATTAGGACAACCCACCATACATTTGTTTAGTTTTGTACAAAATGCAGTAAATGAGCACTTCTCTAGCTCTCTGCCAACTCTTGATTATTGTTTAAAAGTACAGTAATGTAAGCCAAACTGGCAATTTGTAATATTATGTGTTATAATGTAATAATAGATATTTAGTAAACAGTTTACTTCAGTGGTGGATATATACTTCTATTTTATTTTTAGCTTCCATGGGTATGTTCAGTTTCTTGCTTATGCTTTCTGGAAGTAGGTAAAGTAATGCCACCAACTTATTAATAATGACTTGCCAGAGTAAGGTAGTTTATTAATACTGTGTATGGGCTTGATGATTTTATTTTCTTCACAGTTCAAAAATTATCCATGAATCATGTTGCTTAGCCCATAGCTTAGCATATGAGTTATCCTGATAGCAGTCTTTGTACCATCAACTGCTATTAGTTTGACATGCATTATAGCATTGTTTTGAATGTGTCCACCAGAGATTAAATTAACAGTAACAAAGTCAAGGAATATCTGCCCTTTTTCTTCTCTTTATTTTAATGTGGAAATCTTCCGGAAACAGAGGTTTGAGTAGTAGAATGTTGAAGAATTATTGTTATTACAAATGTCATGCTCTGAAGAGGAAGGCTTGTAGTATATTCTGAAGTTTTACAGACTATGTTTTACGTGCTAGGGAATTTTTTCTCCCATCAGATTCCTTTGTCTGAGAAGATTGTATCTGTTAATAACAAAATTTGTCTAGTTATTGCTGGATATGGGACTTCAGAGTTTTAGCTGTGGACAAATATATTGTTTTGGTAAGAGTTACCTCAGAGACATTACATTCCACATAAGAGTAAATAAGTACATATAATATCAAGCCAGTGAGAGAAATGCTTGTGGCATGATGCACCCTTTGATTTGATTAGTAATAATGTATCATATACTCTGTTCCTTCTACTGTCAACATTAGAACCCACATCAAGAATGTATGACTGTGTGACCACAAGTAACAGTTCCTTCTCCTTAAAGTCTTAACATAAAGGTTATAATGTTATCTGAGATTTTAGTGTTGCTTACAAATGTAATGAATTTATAAGCTTCCAGAATTAAACCTAAAAAGAAAGAGCCTTTCTGAAGTCTGAATGGCATCCATTCTAATAGCAAATGAAGATTCAGTGACACACTACTGAACTATACCAGCCTGATTCTATTCTCATATTAATTACCTCCTTCTCTGTAACTGCCAACATGTGAATATTTTACCTTACTGCAATGTTCTTCAAATATGCCAACGTTCTAACCTCCTGATTTCACATGATCATGTAACAGGGTCCATTAACGTAGGACAGTCTTAATAAAGACTCGCTGTTTTCATTGGTCAGAATGACCTGAGTGTTGCTAAATTCAGACTTTTTGAAAGCTTACTTGTTGAACTTGGTTTTGTCAGCTTGGCAACCCCAAAGCCCATTTTGGATTTGTAGCTCCCTATCACCAGAAACTGAACTATGGTGAAAATCATTCCATACCTGTGCTCATACTTGCCCTGCTCTATAACTTCTCCAGATTCATTTTCAGATGAGGGTGATCAGTCCTGTATTCAGTGTGCACCCTCAGCAAGTTTGTTGATGACACCAAGCTGTGTGGTATGACTGACACACTGGAGGGATGGCGTGCCAGCCAGAGGGACCCTGACAAGCTCAAGAGGTGGGCCCATGTGAACCTCCTGAAGTTCAACAAGGCCAAGTGCAAGGTCCCGCACGTGGATCAGAGCAAGCCCAAGCACAAATACAGGCTGGACAGTGACTGGACTGTGAGCAGCCCCTTGAAGGAGCACTTCTTATTATTGATGGATGAAAAACTGAATATGAGCCAGCAGTGTGCACTTGCAGCCCAGAAAGCAAATCACTTCCCGGGCTGCATCAAAAGACACATGGCCAGCAGGGCGAGGGAGGTGATTCTGCTCTCGTGAGACCACACCTGGAGTACTACATTCTGCTCTTGGGGCTCCCAAGATAAGAAAGAGCCTGTTGAAGCAGGGCTGGAGGAGGGCCTTGAAGATGATCAGAGGACTGGAGCACCTCTCCTACGAAGTTAGGCTGAGAGAGTTGAGTTTGTTCAGCCTAGAGAAGAGAAGGCTCCAGGAATTCCTTTATTATGGCTTTACAATTCCTAAAGGGGGGCCTATGAGAAAGCTGGAGAGGGACTTTTAACAAGGGCATGTAGTGAGAGGAAAAGGGGTAATGGTTTTAAACCAAAAGAGGGTAGATTTAGATTAGATGTAAGGAAGAAGTTCTTTGCTGTGAGAGTGGTGAGGCACTGTACCAGGTTGCCCAGAGAGTCTGTGATGCCCCCTC